TGGACTGACACCTCTTCAAATACCCGATGGGCATCATAAGAAGCGATTAGCCGGACCTGAACCACCGGGACTCAGCTCGCAAACGCGCATACATCAGCCTTACAGTCGTCGTCATGGACACCGTGACAGCCACGTTTACATCGTGAAACTTCCGGCTAGTCCTCCGTACTATACCATTACAAAGCCTCACAAATCCGTCAACGACGACAAAGTCACTAAGACCGGCCCGAGTTTTCCGGTGGGATTTCAAGGAAATGGTAAACCTGCCAAGATTTATCATTGGAATTTACCGGTCGTAAAGAAAATGATGGAGAAGAAGCGTCTTCAACTGAGTCAACTAAGAATTGACGCTAGAAAAAAGTTGGAGGATATGAAGAAACAGCAGCAAACATCTTCTACAAAAACCATACTGAATAAGCTTTATCCGCTCGATACAAGTAGCAAAAGTTATGAGTATCGTGCCACCGATAACCAACTTCATTTGCATCAAAAGCAGCCAGTGACGAAACACATCAGAAATAATGACAAGAGACTCAGCTATTCGAATAGCGACAACGACAATATTAAATTCAAGCCGACGAAAAAGAATAACCTTGGCAACAAGGCGTATAGATTAGACGATATGAATGTGCATAGGATCCACCTGAGCAACGAACTTCACGGCTCAAGGAACACTGTGCCGAAGATGAAAAAACACCGGAAAAAAGCTGCCACTTCATATTATGCACCAATCGCCACTAAAACAGGTTCCACTAGCATCCACAAAAACTTTCCCGGAAATGGCAAACCTAAAGCTTTCTATATTATGGAGAAGAGTCGCAAGCCAGTATACTATCATCCCCTTCTACCTTAATCTTCGATTGTTCGTATAACTGTGCATAATCGTGTAATATCTTAACTGGCTTGCCTGCCTGTTAGCTTCTTGTAGATGCATACTATTCTGTTTATACAGGATCAGGAATCGCCATTCAAATTAACAACGATAAAATGCAAAAAAGAAGGAGAAAGAGGGAGAAAGAAAAAGAGAGAAACAGAGACTTTCCCTATGAGACAAGATTTGCCTATTATATTGCATATAGTCATTTTTTATTCAAGATAATGCATTCCGCAAACTGTTCCACTTCTGTTAAATATACATCGTTATTATATCTTTACTTATAAAGGTGCATTAAGATAAGAATTAAATATTAGAAATGTGCAAACATAAGTTTTATTATCGCATCTTGTTGATAAATTCATTTCTTCATATATTTTTAATTTTACAGTATCGTATATATTCAGATAATCCATTCTATTATTGCGACGAAATAACAGATATTATTTATATTTTTACATTACCTTATTAGCTGACAAATGGATGAGGAATTTGAGCATATCATATTTTCACAAAACATATTTTACATCTATATAATATAATAATCGATATCAATTGTATCTATATAGACATCAAAAATTTCCGCAAAATGATACTAAATAAGCGTCTATACATCTATTTCTTTTAATATAAGAATGTATTATTTTAAAAGGTAATTTTACTAGAACAATTTAAAAAAAATTTTTTTTCTAATTGTTATAAGACTGAAACGTTACTAGACTTTTATAAGGATTTTTTATAGAACGTTTTATTGATAACTTTACTGCTTTGTATTTTGAAACGTTTCTTTTAATCATGAGAGTTTCGCGAGGATTTGTCGTATCACATATCGTAACAATTACTTTAAAAAATAACATTACATTACGTAATAGAGGAAGATGGCTGAATTATTTCCATTAGCATTTTAGACATGAATTGAATTAAAAAAAAAAATCATGTTGCAATTAGAAAAGAAATTAATGTTAAATAATGTGCAGAATTCCTTTGACGGAAGCTGAAAGAGCGATAGTTTTAGCAATTGATGGAAGTAAAAAATTCAATTAAAGTTTAATGCAATGTTTAATGTCGTAATAGGCAATAAAATATGACTCTGCTGCTGTTCTTGACTGTCAAAGATAGAATGCATGATTTGTTTTTCACTAAAAGCACTAAAAGCAGTGATCTCACGAGGCCTACGAAAATCTGATAATTGAGATATTTTTAAAAAATGTGATTTCAGTACTATGATGATTGATTTTATTGTAAGTACAAGTATATAAAACTTACGAACAAATACTTAAAAAAAGAAAAAGTTGAGAATAGAACAATTTGTTGTTTTATTTATGTGTTTGCGGAAACTTTCGGTGTGTTGCGAACTTAAAACATGATAGTATTATTGAGATTATGACTGAATGTTCCATGTCTATCCTGCATTGGATGGCTATTTACACTATTTACACATAATATAAGTATTGATTAAGCTATTACTATGTGACATTCAAATTACATTATATATATATATATA